CAATGGCGCAATCTCAGCTCACTGCAACCTCTACCTCCTGGGTTCAAGTGATTCTCCTGCCTCAGCCTCCTGAGTAGCTGGGATTATAGTCGTGCGCCACCACGCCCAGCTAATTTTTGTATTTTTTTTTCTTTCTTATTTTTTATTTATTTATTTATTTTTATTAAACGGGGTTTCACTGTGTTGGCCAGGATGCTCTTGATCTCCTGACCTCGACCTCATAATCTGCCTGCCTCGGCCTCCCAAAGTGCTGGGATTACAGGCGTGAGCCACCATGCCCGGCCTAATTTTTGTATTTTTAGTAGAGATGGGGTTTGACCATATTGGCCAGGCTCATCTCAAACTTTAGACCTCAAGTGATCCGCCCGCCTTGGCCTCCTGTAGTGTTGGGATTACAGGTGTGAGCCACCACGCCCGGCTGGAAGAGCATTATTCTTATTAGCTTTGTTTTTCTATGGCAAGTTTCTGGGTTCATTTTATCATGACTTCAGCAAGTATCATGTTTGTGACTTCATGTTATGGTACAAAGAAAACCAAGGTCCGGCACGGTGGCACATATATATAATCCCAGCACTTTGGCAGGCTAAGTCAGGAGGATTGCTTAAGGATAGGAGTTCGAAGCCTGGGTGTGGTGGCTCACACCTGTAATCCAAGCACTTTGGAGGCCAAGGCGGGTGGATCACCTGAGGTCGGGAGTTCAAGACCAGCCTGACCAACATGGTAAAACCCCATCTTTAAAAAAAAAAAAGGAGTTTGAAACCAGCCTGGGCAACATAGTGAGACTCCATCCCTACAAAGAATTTTAAACGTTAGTCAAGTATAGTGGTGCATACCTGTAGTCCCAGCTAGGAAGACTAAAGCAGGAGGATCACTTGAACTGAGGAGTTTGAGGTTTCAGTGACCAATGATGGTGGTGCCACTGCACTCCAGCCTGTGTGACAGAGTAAGACCCATTATCAAAAAGAAAAAAGAAAACCAAACAATCTAGTCCCTGTAATGCCCCTTAGAAAAAGAACAAATAATCATTTAAAATAGGGCCAGGCACAGTGGCTCACGCCTGTAATCTCAGCACTTTGGCAGAGCTGGGACGATTACTTGAGCCCAGAAGTTTGAGACCAGCCTGGGCAACATAGCGAGACCCCATCTCTAAAAAAAATGAAAATATTAGGCATAGCGGTATGTGCCTGTAGTCAAAGCTACTTGGAAGGCTGATGTGGGAGGATCACTTAAGGCCAGGAGGTGAAGACTGCAGTGAGCTGTGATAGAGCCTTCGCATGCCAGCCTGGTGACAGACAAGACCCTGTCTCAAAAAAACAAAAAATTAGCATTATTTTACTTTTAGATAAATGATCCCTATTCATTGTATAGAAAAGAAAGGGACCAGTGCAGTGGCTCACATCTGTAATCCCAGCACTTTGGGAGGCTGAGGCGGGTGAATCACGAGGTCAAGAGATCGAGAACATCCTGGCCAACACGGTGAAACCCCGTCTCTGAAAAAAAATAAACAGAAGATTTAAAAAAAATTTACAAAAATTAGCTGGACATGATGGCATGCCCCTGTAGTCCCAGCCACTCAGGAGGCTAAGGTGGGAAGATTTCTTGAGCCAAGGAGGTAGAAGTTGCAGTTACGTGGGAGGCTGAGGCAGAAGCATAGTTTGAGCTGTCAGAGTGGGCAACAGAGTGAGACCCTGTCTCAGAAAAGAAGTAGTTTTTCACACCTTTCAGAAAAGTGTTAAGAAGAATGCACACCACCGTGTACAGCTAATGTTTTCATTTTTAGTAGAGATGGGTTTTACTGTGTTGCCCAGGCTGGTCTTGAACTCCTGCGCTCAAGCAGTCTACCCTCCTGGGCCTCTCAAAGTGCTGGGAGTCACCACGCCAGCTAATGCTAGTTTTACAAGACAAAATAAAAGATTTCTGATGAAACAGACAAGAAAATATCTGTTTATTCGTTTTCACAATTACCAATTTATGCTATAAAAAGATGGCTTATCTTGTTTTTACTCTAGAGGGATTTAAAGATCCAGCTCTCTACACTTCCTGGTTAGAGCCTGTTAATGCTTTCAACGTGTGGAAAACCCAGCGGGCCTTTAGCAAATATGAGAAGTCTGCAGTGTTGGTCAGCAATAGCCAGTTCTTAGTAAAACCACTTGATATGATTGTGAAGAAGGCATGGAATATGTTTGCCTCAAAGTAAGTATAAAATAAGTCTACAAACCTTTCTAATCTTTAAGCAGATACTGTATTGTTAAAGCATGAGGTAGGATCTGCAGGAGTGATGGTTACTACTTTTCAGATGTGAAGCTTTGGGCACGTGACTTCCGGCTTTATTTCCTCATCTGTGTAAGTGGGTCCTAACTGAGGGAATTTCTGGTGAGGGTTAGGTAAGATGATCTTGTAAAACAGCCAGTACAGTGCTTGGCTAGTAAATGCTTAATAATTGTTTGATGTAATTAAAGTGGAATTTCACTATAAAGCAGGGACAATAAGGTAGTTTTCAAAAATAAGATTCGGCCAGATGCAGTGGCTCACACCTGTAATCCTAGCACTTTGGGAGGCCAAGGTGAGTGGATGACTGAGGTGGGCAGATGACCTGAGCAAGACCAGCCTGGCCAACATGGTGAAACCCTGTCTCAATTAAAAATACAAAAATTGAGCAGGCATAGTGGCTCACGCCTGTAATCCCAGCACTTTGGGAGGCCGAGGCGGGTGGATCACGAGGTCAAGATCACCAGGTGGATCATCCTGGTCAACATGGTGAAACCCCGTCTCTAATAAAACCACAAAACATTAGCTGGGCATGGTGGCACGTGCCTGTAGTCCCAGCTACTCAGGAAGCTGAAGCAGGAGAATTGCCTGAACCCAGGAGGCGGAGGTTGCGGTGAGCCGAGATCGCGCCATTGCACTCCAGCCTGGGTAACA